TTTCGTTTCCATGGCTACGGCATGACCCCATCTCTTTATCTCCTTGTATCATAGATCTAAGGTAAATAGTATGACAGCAACACTAACGTAGAGAGGCTTTGTTAAGGGGTGAAAAGGGGATGGTAACATATTCATAAGTTTTCTCCCCCCCGTCCATTATTATGAAATATAAAGAATTGGATCTGGATGCCCGGGGTTGTGTTCTGTAAAACTGCTGCTGTAAAGATTATTAAGTTCCTTTTATACTCGAAGTAAATTATAATTTAACAAATGATACTGACGACAGATTAATTTAAAATATTTAATGGTGATTTTGTGTTCTACAGATGTTTTTGAAAATGAAATGGTGTTAAAAAATACTCAAAATTTTATGCTTTGTTATTAAGTACAATTTTTGAATACAATTACTTAATGATTCTCTTTTAACGTTTTTTAATCAGGACTCAATCATAATGATCAATAACTTAACCTTAAATATGCTAATTAATTAGCGCACACGATATTTTAGAGTACGAAATCAGACACAAAAACTTCCTTTCTCTGAATATGCATTTTTTATTTATGGTGTTGGTTTTTTGGACCCTCAAAAAATAGGAGGCAGTTTCAATCTGGAAAGTATGGTTCATATAATTTAGCTATGAGAGTGATCTAAAATTTGAGTGCCTTAATGTTGTTTTCAATATTATTATTATATTTTGCATAATTTGCCTTCGCAAAGAAGTCGAATTTTTAATTTTTTTTTCTCTCAGGAACTTTTTGACCGATTCTTTTTCAATACTGGATTTTATCATTTAAAAATATGCGCATTTTTTGGTGAAAAATTTCTATACTTTACAGTTGAAAATTTTTTCGACTATCAGTAAATTAAAAAATAATAAACAATTACAAATTATCTTTGCATATAAAAGTTTTATTACGAAACGAAATTTTTTTCCTGATACACTTCATTAGTTTTGCTGCTATGGCGAACTACGCAAAAAAACAACAATGAAATTAACATTGTAGACGCAAATTTTTAACTGCTCGCCAGCTTAAACTATTGGCATCATATTTTGAGGGTCGGAAATCGAAATCTGTCAGAAAAAAGGTGCATCTTTATTCAAAGATAGTACGATTTTGTGTCTGATTTCGAAACTTAAAATATGATCTGCATTAATTAATCTTTATAATATAGGTATAAAGGGTATAATTAACCGATACGGTTAATTATGCCTTTATACCTATGATTCCGAATAATAAATTAGGCTGTTAAGAAAATCATCGACTGGTTAGATACTCTGCACTCTATTTTATTTTATAACCGGTATTGAATAGCTGATCTATGCTTTATTTACGACTATCAATGTTCACCTCTAAGGCATTGTAATTTTGCACTCAACCCAAAAGACAAGGGAACATCATATTGAGCATTGACTTTCATCAGCTTTTAAAGACTTTACAATATAGGAATTACTATATTACAATTGAATAATTAAATAATTCAAGATGAATTGAGTTTCTACCTTTTTTTACATTTTTAGTAGCTTGTAGCATTACTATAAATGGTGTATCTGGAATCCGTCGTAGTAATTAAAATTACCCTAGCCTTTTAATGTCATTCAGATGTCATTTCACGACATTTTGATGGGATTATATAGATGCCAAAAGCTATGTATTGTCCGTATTATGCCATTTTTATATTTAAAATGGTAATGAATCTTATAAATTTCTTTTTTATTATTAGATTTATAGATTTAATTTATTATGATTTTGACTACCACTATGCAAGTAAATAAATCTTATGTATAAGAGAAGTCATTGAAAGCATAAGGAGTGAAAGCCATAGCAATTGTGAAAAGTTAATTTTATTTGCAATTGCATCTCAATTAGTTTTCCTTGACCGCAGGGGAATACTTATTCGGAAAAAGTAACATTTGGCAGGTTTGCGTTATTAAAATTGAGATGAATAAAAATCAGAAGGTGGTTTACGTGGTTATTTAATTACATTAGCTTTTATTACAGTATCGTTTCTTCACGTTCGTAATACCAACCAGCACCAGCTTCAACTCAGAATTTTGAGGAGTTTTCACTCCCGCTATTTAAATGAAAAAAGTAAAAGTAAAAATTTTAATTCATGATTTAAAAGATGTTAAAATTTATAGGACTTTCGGAAAGTAATAAAATCAGCGTAAAAAATTCATTCGATTAGTAAATAAATAAGAATTTTCATCAAACGAAACACCGAAATTCATTGAAAATTAATGCGATTCGCTTTGGAAAATACAGATTAAAAGCAAACTAAAAAAGAAAGTGCGCCATCTCTTGATAATTTTCAAAATTATTTAAATATTTGTTTCTGAAATACTCATTCTTCTCTCTGAACAATTTTCGTCTGAATTTTTTTCGTCTCAAATTTATTCAATTTTAACTTTTTCCATAGAAAATTTTTTTATTAAAGCAGTAAAGAATTTTAATTTGAATGAAACCCAAAGAATAGTTTAAAATATTTTTGAGAATCGTTTTCAAACATAAATCGTTTTCGAAGAAAAAAAAAGAAATAAAAAAGAATCGTTTTCAAAATTTCAAAAACACCAATAATTTGAATTAAGGAATTGTTTTAGAATATTAAATTAATTTTGAATGTTTATCTTTTACCAAACAGAATTTTTTTTATTGAATCTGAAAGGAATTTAATTATGGTTGAAAACTAAATAAATAGAATAAAGTTTTGTTAAGAATTGTTTAAAAAAAATTAGAAATACCAATTTGAATAATGAAATTATTTTAGAACAATATATCATTTTTGATTTTTTGTTATGGTATATTAGGTACTTATGTATTCCTGTTTCTAAAACAAAGGAGAAGAGCCCTAATACGGGCAAAATTTATTCATTTTATGAGAAACTTACTTTATATTATTTTGAATATATCTGCAATTTTATGGTACAAAATTTAAACATTTTTCTTCATTTTTAATGATAGATAAGAAAATTTGTATTTTTTAATAATATTCCTATTTTGGAAAATTGTTTTTGTCCTCCAGATCTATAACAGTAAATCTAGGCGAGGAAGTCAGATAATCAAATATTTAGTCCATTGTTAATTTTGTAATAAGCAGAAAAAATTCGAATAGATCAGATTTTAATAAAAAAATTTTGTCTCAAATTTTAAACTATAATTAATTAGGTTTTAATATTAACTTTACGTTAATATGTTATAATAAATGTTAAAAACCTAATAAATATTTAGATGTCAAATTTTTGATTTTATCAAATAAGTTTCTCTTGAATATTTTAATTAGTTGCAAGTGTTACACTTTATCATATAATATTTGATTTTTAAACGGCATATAAAATGATTTTGACCACCATAACATATAGATAATGGAGCCTCCCTGACCGAGTGGCAGCACCCACCAAATTTAATTTTCAATTTCATTTTCTATTTCAAAAGAAGAACAATTTCATCTTAAAAGAAAACTTCCATAGCAAAATAATATTGCAACGATTAATTAAAATAAAAAAATAATTTTAATGAAGTACTATCTTTTTTTGCGGGTATTAAGAAAAAGTTTCTCAATTTGTTCCTTTCTATATTAATCAGAGATAAAAACATATTAGTACCCCTTTATATATATATATATATAAGTAACAACACTGGAGAACAATTTTTACTTTTATTTTTGTTGCACGACATTTTTGAACGGATCTTAAATATATTTTCGCCTTTGCTGATTTCAACACTGCTATCGGCTTCAATAATATATTCCTAAACGGCTAGAGTTATTATTTATAGCTAAAAGTCAAATATGAAATAACAATTAAATTAAGAAAAAATTAGATTTATCGTTATGAGAATTCCTAAAAACCAGCTTGGTCTGGGTTTTATTGGTTTTTTAACCTTTTTTTGGATTAATGGGTCGCTCAAAAAAAAGCCTTGTCTTTTTTTTTCTTCTTCTTAATTTGTTGCTCTGATTTATTAGTTCTGGAGAAAAGGGATTTCCAAAAAATTCCAATGTTGTAGGGTATGTAATTAAGATTTTAAAAAGACAAATTAAAAGTGACAGTTAAATTATAATAAGCATTTTCATTCATGACGCATTCCCTATTACACCAGTAACAGGAATAATGAATCAAAATTTGTCTGCAACCTAAATGCAATCAAGTGGAGTCTTTTATCTTGAGAATAAGGCTTACCTAAATGTAAATACACTAAAAATTTCAATTCGCAAATTTGAGGAAAATCAAACACAACTATGTTTACATTTTACTTGAAAAATATGTTATTAGACTTAACAAGGAAGATGGATTAAACTCCATATCCAAAGCATTCGAAGGAGTTAGCACATTTTTTTGCTGGCTAAATTAAATTAAATTTTTCTATTCAAGAAATGCTATCAGAATAAATACGCCACTCCAGATAAACTATTTTCAAAGTATTTTGCAATATTTCAATTTATCTATTAAGATTTTGTAGGAATTTCTGCAGAGCTTTTTTATATATAATTTTTTACGTTATTCCGGTAGAAATGTCTCTGTAAAAACCTAAAAATCTATCTGAAAACTTCTGCAGGTACTTTTTTTTTCAAATTTCTAACTAAAAAATAAATCTGCTGAGCCCGCTTCCGGGTTGGAGTATTTCTGGTGATTTTAAGTATTAATGTAAATAGTTTTAAGTAAAAATTAAAAGTAGATTAAGAACTTACTTTTACCGCATAAAAACTTTATAGTTCTTCTGCACTATGAAGGGTGTTGTCATCAAGTTGGTAGCTAATCAGTGTAATACGACTCTTTTTAGTTTGTTTATTTTTAAATATTTATGTTTATTTTATTTTTCATCATGTTAATTAATTACCCCATGTTTTCGAATTGCTTTAAGTTTATACTTAAGTATTTTATTACATGCTACTAAAATTTTGTTTTGTTTAAATTTTGCTTAATTTTGTATTGTTTTATTCTGTTTTGTTTCAGGTATTTAAATGTTATTAATTAATTTATTTTTTAAAATATTTCTTTTTATAGATATTGAAGCTATGAAAATGATCATTGGTAATTTTTCATTTACTGTTTTATTTCTATTTTTAAACTATCTGTAAATGATGGAATAATCATCAAATTATTTATAAGCAATGTAATTTAAATCTTTCATTTTTACTTTATTCTGAATTACTTGCATTATCTCTTCTTACGTTAATCATTTTTCTCTTTAATTCACATTTATTATTCAATATTTTATTTCTTTTACTATCTTTTCTTGCGCCTTTTATTTATTTCTTAAATTCTTACATTTTATTTGCATTTTGTTTTATCTTTATTACTTTTACGTGTATTTAATGAAATAGGTAATAAATTCAAGGAAGTGCTTAATTAAAATATTAAACATTTGCATGTACTTGCTTCCAGAAAATAAATTCCAATATTTGAAAAAAAAAACAATGAAAAAAACAAGCTATTGCAGGATTTTTTTAAAAAAAATATGTTCATAAAACATATTACACATTTAAAACAGATTGCACTTTACAAGAAAATAAGTAAACATCAGACTTTTAAATATTCAGGATTGCCACGATCAGGGGACAATTTAAAAGTGGCTAATTCTTTTCAAGGCTAATAAAACATGATAAAATTGTGCTCCCACTTTGGCATTAAAAAAATATATATTCAGGTTTTCGTTTTACTTTCATCTTGCACAATTTCTTTAAATTAAAAGTTTAGAATAGATAAGAATAATTTAAAATATTTATATTTTTCTTTTCCAATTTCGCTACTACTTAAAATCTCCAGATCGTGACCACGCTGCTATTACCTTATTTTCTGGAATAAAAAGATCTGCGACAATTGAGATACTTATTAATAAATGCAACAAACATGTATAAATATGTCCTACCTGAAAAAGACTTATTCTCCCTTTAACTATAGTTTTTTCTAAAGTCGTTCAATACTCAAACTTTCATGTTTTATCTTAAATTGTATTTTTAATTCCTGGTTTTTGATAATTTGATAAAATAGAAATTAGTTTTGAATTTAACAGAATGGATCTTAACACAGTTATACTTCACTTGTATAATTTAGAGAGTTTTTCATCAAAACAGTGTAACGAAAATGAAACCAATGAGCCCTCAAAATTAAATACTTGTACTGCTCACACCAGTTCAATTCAACATTTAGAAAATTATTTTGAAAAAATATTTCTTCTCATATCAATCGATGTGTATTTGTTTTACGTGTCGTGGACACCACACTACACTATCTTTTCTTGGATACTACACTACGCTGTTGCTACACTATCTTGCAAAAAGTATCCGGACACCCAGTAGTATGGTGTTAGTGCGTCGTGAGGCACATATTAATAGGATGTTGTTCCCTCTTTTGCATCGACGATAGCCTGAATACGTCTGAAAAGACTTTCCTCCTGTTTTTGATAGGTGGTCATAGGAATTGACTTCCATCACAGCTGAAGTGAGTACTTACAGCGAAGATGCTCGATTTGGCTGCCTACGTAGTAATCTGGACTCTAATTCGTCCCAAAGATGCTCTATGGGATTAAGGTAAGGACTCTGAGAAAGCCAGTTCAGTTTTTGAACACCCAATTCTTCTTAATTTTTTATAACCGTCGTTGAACAGCCAACCCAATTTTATGGATTTAAGACTTCTAATGTTCAACTCCGTAGCCTTGTAATTTGGAACTCAGTCCAAAAGACAAGGGAACTCCTGGATCGAGTATTGGGGGTAATTTTGCCGTTGTGGAGGACTTTCTGGTGGAATTAACCCGCATTTGCGTTACACGGAGAGACCAAGAGAGTTGGGAGTGCAGTATTGTCCAGAATGTTCACGTACAGCTCAGAGTTCATGTTTTTAACCACAGGAACTAACGGACAAAGACCAAACCACGAGAAACACCCCTACACCAGTATGCTTCCACCACCATTACAAACGGGTGTCCAGATTCTTTTGGTCAGATAGTGTATTACAGTTTACAGAATTGCAAATATGAGCTTTTATTATAAAAAACATAGCAAATCTATTTTTTTTCTTCTGTTCGTGACACCGTAGAGTCACCCTGTATATTAGAGCAAAAAGGAAAGCTAGTTTAGCCTTTTACACTACCTTTGAGTAGACATCGAAAGTCTTTAATCTAAAACTTAAAATTTTTATATCTTTAAAACTAATGAGAACGTTGTTTCATGAATTTTTAAAATTACATAAAAATATTGTACAATGCAGTTTAAATCAAAGGTTTCCACTCCTTTTGTCTACGGAATCCTAAATGATTAATCTTCTTTTGACGGAACCCCGAATTTATAAATTAAGTGTGTAAACAGAATTGTGAGCATATTAACACGTTCACGCCGGGGTGACCCATCGGTGGGTCACGCTAGATTGTCTCCTTCTTGGCAGCGCACCGGAGTAAAAACTGGTAACAAATAAATTTCATTTTTTAGTTTTTTTCCGGGAATAATAATAATCCATAACTACCAATTGTTTTTAACGGATGCAATTTTTATATTGAATTGCTTCTTCACCGTTATAAATTTCCTTACAGTGAATTGTTATTGTTGAGAATAGATTAACTCCTCTCGAATATTATCTAATATTGAAATAGTTCTTCTACCAGTATTTTCATTTTTCTTGTACCAGTATTTTCACTTTTCCCGGCGTGAACGTGTTAACCGATGAAAGACTTTATTTGAAAAATACTTTATATAAGGAAGAAATTTTTTTCAACGTTTTATCCTTAATAATCATAATTTAGATTTTTGTCCAACAGCTAAACTCTCAGTCCTTTAGCTGAATCTGGTCTAGGTATCAATTCATAAGTTAAACATGTATAAAATTTGAATTGAGAACTAAAGAGAGCTGATATAGGCGTTTAAAATCGTTATTAGGGAAAGATAATTCCTCATTAACGATATAGTGATTTTATTTTGATTTAAGGAGAGCGAGAGAAAAAACTTATGCAAATAACTAAGACTTGCAAATTTTTAATAATTGCATGCCCTTTTTATATTTTATTTACTCAATTGTTACTAGTATAATTTTATATTTAAAAAATGTATTGGCATTTTACTTTAAAGTTCATAAAGGCAAAGGAAATATTAAATAAAGAATGGATTATTGATTTAATATAAATTTAAAATTCATAACTGGCTATAGAAAACCTATTGGAACCTCTTTAACTTATCTAAGGAATCCTAACGTATCGCGGAGCACTATTAGGGAGCTACTGGTTAAAATGATTTAAGTGTTTACATTAGTTTAAATATTCAGAGTGCAGTTTATATACTGTTATGTATTAAACGGTTAAATGTTTGGACGAGAATAGTAAATTTTAGATCAAAAAATATTTAAAAAATAAAGTAAGATATAATGTAAATAGTAATAGAAGAAAAAAATAATTTTTCATGCGTTTTAACTAATTTTGAAGCTCCTAATACATTTCAGCGTTCCTAATTTTGAAGTTTCATGTCCAACAATGTCTAGCATCATATCTAAATGATGGTTTCGTGTTTTTATGCATATGTCTACGAATCTACAATAAGCAATAAGCTATCTACACAATACTATGAGCTCCGTTGAAATTTATTTTTAAAAGTAGGCTTAGAAAATTTTTCGAGGAATAGTCCAATAAAAAATATACTTAATTTCGAGTGGAAAAAAAGTAAAGAATATTTCTTTATGTTAATCTTTATTTTCAGCGAAAAAAGACGTTTAAGGACAATAATTTATCAAACATAAAAATATTCCGAATTGCATTAAAAAAAAGAAAATTGATGTCTGTAATTCATTCCATATTTAAGACAATCAAACTTTTAGGTAAAAATAAATAAAATACAAACAAGGGTTAAAAATCATTCCACAGTAAAATTATTTGTAATTTTAAAGGAAAAAAGACAATCAGAGGCAATAATTCCTTTTAAAATAAAGTATACTTATTAAAAAATGAAATATGAAAGTCAAAAGCGATAATTCATTCCACATTAAGAAAATTCTGACTTCAAAAATTCAAGGGAGAAAAAAAAAACAATTCGAGATAATAACTCGTCGCACATTAAAAATGTTCATAATATTCAAGAAAAAAATGACAACTAAAAACGATAATTCATTTCATATTAAGAATATTAATTTGAAAGATAAAAAGACAATCAGTTGTGATAATTCATTCCCTGTTGAAAATATACTTAATTTCAATGAAAAGAAAGACAATTAAAAATGATAATTCATTTCACATTAAAAATATTCTTAATTTTTAAGAAAAAGGCAGTACAGGGTGATAATTCATTCCACATTATAAAAATATTCTGAAGTTCAAGGAAGAAAAAAAGATTATCAGAGGTAATAGTTCAGTTCCATTAAAAATGTTCAGAATTTCAAAGAAAAAAAAATAAATCTAAGGCGATGATTCGTCCCACACTAGAAGTGCTCATTATGTAAAAAAAATAAGATAAAAATGAAAAATATTATTTAAAAAAAAAGCTGGAAAAAAAAAGAAAAAAAGGCAATCAAGGGCGATAATTCTTTCTTCATTTAAAATATTCATAGAGGAACTATTTTTGAATAATATACTATATCATTTTTGAATTTTTGTTTACTATTTCAAAAAAGAGGAGAAAAAGGCAAATGATAAAAATGAATAAAAAAAAATTTATTTCAAAGAAAAAAAGTCAATCAGGGACGATAATTCATTCACCATTTAAAATATTCACAACGGAACTGTTTCTGAACAATATAACATATCAGTTTTGATTTTTAGTTCATTATTTAAAAAAAAGGATGAAAACAAAAAAAAAATATTTAGTAGAAAGAAAAGGCAATCAAAGGCGATAGGTCTTTTCACATTTAAAATATTCTTTACTTAAAAAAATGCAATCAAGGGTAATAATTTATACCATATTAAAAACATTCTTAATTTATAAGCGAAAGGCACTCAAGCTTGACAATCATTCCACAATAAAAGTATTCTTAATTTTGAAAAAAAAAAGGCAATCAAGGGCGAATTTCACATTCAAAATATTTTTGATTTCAAGGAAGAAGAAGATAATTAATGACGA